GCATCCGAATAAGAAATTCCATATTACCAGGCATGGATCCGGCGGCGAGCAACGGAGGGAGCGAGGGCGGGTCGGGCGTCCGGGCGCGGCAAGCAGCGGAGGCAGTGACGCCGGGTCGGACGTCGGGGAAAGGCGGGAGACTGCGGCGGTGATGGGAGGGAGTGTTGGTATTGATCTACAGGCCCAATGGGCCAAAACGAAAATAAAAGATCAGAAATAAGTTACGTTAAAGAGAGAAAACGTTCATACCCCTCGATCTCAACTTACGCGCCCTGATCGGGGGCACCCTAACCAACTATGGTTTTGGTCCCCTATCGCCAGCGCACATGAAAATATGGGGGAGCAGCCGGCACCTACGTCAGACTAGTTCTCGTACGGTTTACTCCTGCTCCCCACATCCCTAAACCCTAACCGATCTGGGGGAGCGCTGCACGACGGGAAGATCATCTCCAAGCTCTGCCCCTGTCCCAGGGCAGTGCCGGTGGCACCCCGAGGGGCGCCGCTACCTGCAGTGAGCATCTTCACCGAGGCTGCATCAAGCCTGCATCGAGCAGGCACGGGACTTCGCACCGTGGACACCAATGACTGCTTCCATTGGTGGTAAGAACCTAATCCATCTGTCTGATCTGTGCTATTAGGTGATCTAACGCCTGCCTTACAATCTGTTAAGTATATCATACGGGATTATAAGTCTAACAGGGAGTACTGGGGGAACGGGGCGGGGGCGCGGCACCGGCGCGCGTGGGACGGTGCGGCGGTGGGGTGACGGCGCCCTAGATAAGAAAGGGGACGAGAGGCTGGGGGGGAGTGATGAAAAGGACGAATTAGTAACTGAGATCTGAACCCCACTCCAACTCGAGCGAGCGAGCAAGCAAAAAAACCGCTCGTCCATCCCGTGTGTGACGGTTTCGTCTCGTCTTTGGCGATTTCTTCTTCGCTGGCGAGTAAACCCATTGACGTTGTGCAACTGTTCGTTGACAGAGAGTCGAGGGACTGCTGCAGGGGTTGAGGCTGTCGGAGAAGGAGAAGAAAGGAATCAAAATCGGCTGGTCTGGATCTGGCAAGGCGGGAATCGTAGAACCACAGGCGCTGCCTAAACTCTTCTAGGAGAAGCCGGTTTTCGTTGAAGCGATGGCAGTGGCAGAAACACTGGGGCGTATGACAAATCAGAGGTGTTCACTGTAATACATTTTTGTTTACATGTGGACAGGAGTCGGGGAAGAAGATGGCTTTAGACAATGGGCCCTGGGACTTTGGGAATGATCTGCTAGTCTTAGGGTGTGTTTGGTTTGGGAACCAAGTGGAATGGAATGGAATGGTTCCATTCCACTGGAATGGGTCGGTTCCGTTCTTGTGTTTAGTTGGGGTATTTGATAGAATGGAATGGTTAGGTTTCAATGTTTGGTTGAGAGATAGAATGGAACGAATTCAGTTCAACTCGTCTCTTTCATAAAAGTAGTGAAGCCGCCTCTCATATGCATATATATACAATATGAACAAGTAGAAAATCTTTGTATTGCTAGAAACATACTATTGAAATTTGCATAGCATTTACATCGAATTGTACATTAGACCGAGGACCAGTTCTTTTGGACGATTCTACCAGAATCGCCCCCCTCCCCAGCTTCTCCCAGAATCACCACTCCATATGTTTTTTACAATCCTACCTAATTAGACCTTAACTAGATAGGATTGTAAAAAAAATATGGAATGGCGATTCTAAGAGAAGCTGAAGAGGGGGGCGATTCTGGGAGAATCGCCGAAAAGAACTGGCCCTGAGAGTACAGACAGGGGTAAAAAATCATCAAATTGAGAGTACAAACACGGTAAATAATCATCAACGGGCATGCAATCAACGAAATTTTGCTCAAAGTTTTTTGACTATTCACTTTAGATTGGATTTCAATCAAGAAAAAATCTCATAGATGAAAATCAGCAACGCAAGATAGGTGGCTTGGAACTGTTGCAGCCAGCGGTGGGACATTGATGGCGTGGGATATGTGGCCGTCGCAGCCCGCGAGGGAATGGCCACCGCCTGAAAAGCAGGCCCGGTCGCCGCCATCCGCCACATCAGGTCGTCACCGTCCCGCCACATCAGGTCGCCACCGCCTCCTAGTAGATCAGGTCATCCCTGGCAGATCAGGTTACTGTTGCCCTGCAGGGGATCCGCTGGCCTGGTAGCCGCCGCCCATCCAATAGATCAGGTAGCCGCCGGCCTGCTGAGGATTCGCTGACCTGGTCGCCGCTGCCCATCCGCCGAACTTGGATGAGAGTGGAGGAGCGACGGGTGGCCATGCGGGAGAGGGGTTGGGGGCTAGTGCCTCGGGAGGGAGGGGGAGGGGGAGGGGTGAGACCGCAAGAGGCCGTTCCGCGTCGTTCCACCAAATCGAAGAAACGAGTTCGTTATGGATATTGTTGGAATATTCCCTTTCGGGGAACGAGTCAGTTCCCGTTCGTTTCAAATCCAAACACAGGAACGTCGCGCACGGACGGGTCAGACCCGTGATGTTTCAGTCGGTGACTGGAACTAAACACACCCTTAGAAGATTATGTACCAAGAAAGCGGATCGAGGACTATTCTTTCGATACTACTGATCCCGATATGGGTGAGAGTGCTCCGGCTGCCACTTGGTTGAATGAATAGGGATGCCGGGGAAACCATTGGATCGGAATTGGGAGAGGTTACTGAAGTAGAGGCAAGACCAGATGGAAGAGCAATGGGTAAATACTTGAGGATTATGGTCAGAATAAACATCAAGGTACCACTGATGAGAGGTTTCAGACTTGACAAGGAGGAGGAGGAGGAAGGACAAATGATCTTCCAGGGGCCTTCAAAGACACCGGAGGAGGAGGACAAAAACTGGTGCCCTTTTGTATATGAATTTCTGCCTGAGTTCTGTTACATTTGTGGTGTCTTAGGCCATAGTGACAGGTTGTGTTCTATCCAAGGTTTTGGATCCCAAGTGCACATTTTTTCTCGAGGGGCACCCGAATTCGCGGTTACCATGGTAACCGCAAAATACCGGAAAAAAATCGGACGAAATTTGAAATTAAATTTTGAATTCAATTTTTTTGAAGTCGATATAGATAGTAAAAAGCGTGGGTCAAGATTCAAACACGAGACGCGCTGTTGAGGAAAGGCAGGCGTTGCCACTAGGCCACAACCACTTATGTTAGTACAGAAGAGATGCCCTGTATTTAACTACACTCTCAGCGTTTGAATTCAAAATATTCAAAAATTTCGAGATTTTTTGCCCGGTATGAG